TCCTTATTTGTGTTGTACCAAATGAACAACATCACTCTGTCATGTTAATGATCTTAAAATGTGATTTTCATTGGAGCTAATCTCCATGGAATCTGCTTAAATGCCTTTACATTTGGAGTATTTTGTCAGTTTCTTTTTTTTAATATCAGAACCATCTGCTTCAGTTTGCCTCACCCCCCCCCTATATCCCCCCCCCCCCCCTCTCTCTCACCATCACTCTGCCAGTCTTTCCACTGGGAAAAGATAGCCAACATTGTGATAGGACGCATTAAGGACCATTTGTAGTCAGACAGGCTGAGCTCTCAAGATCCAGCTTGAAGGTTATTTGAATAAAACTACAAGTAATACGATTAAAATAAGATGACAATAGGTCGCATTGATCGATTTTCCTCTCGCTGTTCTGTTTTTTTTTTTTTTTTTTTTTTAAACCGCAATACATGCCCAAATGGTTGCTTTTCAAATGATTTTACTCTCTGGGACCCACAAGATAATCTATTGTTGCAGTGAGAGAGTGTTGATTGCAAAGCAACACAATAGTGCACATTAAATTCTGTCATCACTTTGCATGTGTCAGTCAAGCAATGGCACAATTTGTTTTCTACACCAAAAGTGAATACGACCTGACAAACATTTTCACAATGGTCCTGTTTCAAACCAGTATCGTGAGTAAGTGAAGTATAACCCTTCAGCCTGGTAGCTTGCGTGCCAGTGACTCCTCATGAGATATAAATATTCTGTGATGAATTTGTTAACGAACTCCTACAGAGTTCTCCAAGTATGGATGCAGCCCGTTTTTATTTGGCCTTGTTTCAGCGAACTTTGATTCATACATTCAGAATACTGGAGTGGGTATTGATTGTTACAGATACTTGGTTTAATATTACATTTGCAACTTCAACAAATATAGTTTCCTTTTTACTAACAACACACACTTCTCGGTATGGCATCGTGACATCAAACAATTTGACTGTGATATCAAATTGTCTTCTGCGCAATCACTTCTGGCTGCCTGTTTTGCTCCCTGTACTGGGGATGCTAAGGATTCACGAAGTAGTTCCTACAACAGTCGAAATATGCCTTAGTCAATCCCTAACCCTGCACTAACATTGTTGTGAAATCATCATCATAGTAAATAATGGTCAAAAAACACTGAGGCCGTAAATGAGAAAATACATTTTAAAAAGTAAAATGAAAAACAAACAAACAAATAAACCAAAAAAAAAAAAAAAAAAAAGAGACCGACACGTTAACTGCACCCCTGTGGTTGGTTTACACACTGGTAAGGTGTCCAAACCAGATGTGGTTCGTAACCATATAGCATTGTAGGTCAAAACCATCACAAACCAAGTAACCTGCAATGGAATGCAATTCATGGCGGCCCGGTGGGTGAACGCGTCGACCTCACAGTGCAGAGGTACCGGGTTCAATTCCAGCTCCGGCCTCCCTGTGTGGCGTTTGCATATTCTCCCCGTGCCTGCATGGGTTTTCTCCGGGTACTCCGGTTTCCTCCCACATTTCCCTCCCCAAAAAACATGCATGGCAGGCTGATTGAACACTCTAAATTGTCCTTAGGTGTGAGTGTGAGCATGGGTGGTTGTTCGTCTCTATGTGCAGTGCTATTGGCTAGCAACCGGTTCAGGGTGTCCCCCGCCTACTGCCCAAAGACAGCTGGGATAGGCTCCAGCACCCCCCCCCACCCCACCCTCCCGACCCCTGTGAGGATAAGCGGATCGGAAAATGGATGGATGGATGGAATGCAATTCATTGATGATTGACAAGCTAGGCAACATGATGGACATGTAGTTTGCACATCTGCCTCACAGGACAGAAGACCCAGGCTTGAATCTCAGCTCAGACCATCCTGTGTGGTGTTTTCAGATGTGCTCCCTGTGCTTGTGTGCATTTTCTCTAAGAATAAGACAGTTCTTTTCCCATATTACCCAACAATCAACGTTAGGCTAATTGAAGAAAAGAAATTGTTCATAGCTGTGAATGTGCGTGTCAATGGCAGTTTTTTTTCCCCCTGTCGGTCTGCGGTTGGCTGGCGCCCAAAATAAATTGGGATCGGCTCCAGCTCAACCGTCACCCTCATGAGGAGAAGTGGCATCGAGAATGGATGGGCTAGCAACTGTGACAGGGTGCCCCCCGCCTACTGCCCAAAGACAGCTGGGATAGGCTCCAGCACCCCCCCCCACCCCACCCTCCCGACCCCTGTGAGGATAAGCGGATCGGAAAATGGATGGATGGATGGAATGCAATTCATTGATGATTGACAAGCTAGGCAACATGATGGACATGTAGTTTGCACATCTGCCTCACAGGACAGAAGACCCAGGCTTGAATCTCAGCTCAGACCATCCTGTGTGGTGTTTTCAGATGTGCTCCCTGTGCTTGTGTGCATTTTCTCTAAGAATAAGACAGTTCTTTTCCCATATTACCCAACAATCAACGTTAGGCTAATTGAAGAAAAGAAATTGTTCATAGCTGTGAATGTGCGTGTCAATGGCAGTTTTTTTTCCCCCTGTCGGTCTGCGGTTGGCTGGCGCCCAAAATAAATTGGGATCGGCTCCAGCTCAACCGTCACCCTCATGAGGAGAAGTGGCATCGAGAATGGATGGATATCAACTATCTTGGTGATGTCAAATCAATCAGTTCAGCACTTTGTTGACCGGTGCGGACAAGCTTTTGATTAGTTTTATGACGAGTTTGATGACAAATTTTATGTTTGACAAACTTGTCAAAGTGTGTGATCAATAGACTTCAGACTAATGCTGTACGTTAACACTAGACACTTATTTAACCATTCGCATGACGTGATCCCATATAGAGTCAGTGCGCAGTGGCATGAAATGGGGAAGACAAGTATGACACTACATGAATCAGAAGAATCAGATAACATTGTACTATTTGCACAACATGATTGCATATAAAGTCGGACATAAAAAATGTACCGTAATACATGTCAGGGTGAAAGCAATGCATGGTGCATGGTTACTAAAAATGTTATTTAAATAAATACACACATATTTAATTGTATTTCTAATTTTAATAAGTTCAGAGTAACAGATATGTTTCCATTTGCAGGCAAAAGGAGGCAGAAACATCTGTGCGCTATGCAGGCATCAAGTGCCTCCACTGATGAGATTTTCCTCAAAAGCAGACAGTGTCATTCACGACCTAAATCGCTGCCACCAAAGAGAAAGAAGAAGTGAAATTGAATGTTGACAAATTAATACATATGAAGCCAGCACTGCGTGTCATCAGGAAGAATAAAAGATATGCCTCGGGGACAGTCTTTGCAGGGGAAAAAATAAGGCTTTCAGTCATTAATGTTTATTTGCAACTTATCCAGATACATTTTTAATGTTTATCATCCGATAAATATACTTAATTTTTCTTCATTGCTCTTTCTTTGACCAAACTAAAATGCAGGTGACAGACTGAAACATAAGCGCCTTTCGGCATGTTCGATATTTTGGTTTTGTGTAATGTTCAGGTCGGTATCAGGTTTATGTCTGTGTTTATCTGCAGTGTGTAGGTAGCCTATAGTAATTTATTGATGTAGATGTACTGCTGCTGTCATCAATATTAACAGTAAATTCCTGAGAAAATATGTGTGTGTGTGTGTGTGTGTGTGTGTGTGTGTGTGTGGGTGTGTGCGGGTGTGTGTGTGTGTGTGTGTGTGTGTGTGTGTGTGTGCGTGTGTGTGTGTGTGTGTGTGTGTGTGTGTGAGATGAAGAGCAGCCAACATGTGTGCATCAGGGCGTAGGTAACCAAAACTATTTTATTGATGTAGCCATGCCGTGTCCAATAATAATAAAAATAATGGCAATAAATTCCTGTGACTTTATCCATTGTATTTGTGGGACAAAGAGCAGCCAAAAAGATCGCATGTAGCCTTGATCGATATTTGATGTGAACGATATAAAAGTTGTTCATGAACTAGGCTCTCGCTTGTGGGCTTTACCTGCAAAATGTTAGCTAAAAAAAAAAAAAAAACGAAAAAGATACAGATTCTGGTTGTTTTTGAGAATGATGATTTTTTTATTTTGATTGATTTTGGAATTGCCCATTCATTGATAAATTATAAAAAGGTGTTCATAATTGTATTTCTGTTTTTGCGGAACCACACCATTCCTTTTATTTCGAATGTATATTCCTCTGCCTCATTGATGATCCACTTGTGACGAAAAACATTGAATAAAATTTTTTTGTAAATGAGTATTTTTTTTTTAAACATTATTTTTTAAAGTTTTGAGCGTCGTCTGTCAACCACATCAGTGTCCTGTTGCTGACTTAAAGATTTGTGGTTAATATGCTTTTGGAAAGGTTGGTTTAGGACTAACCTTCATGGAGCTGCCGTGCAGGCCAGGTGCCTTGAGTTGTCATCGGAAAGGAACAGGCGCCTTGAGCTACTGTGTCGCAGAAACAGGGCTGCCATGGGCTGACACGAAAAGGAATTGGGTCTGCAAAAATCCTCATCAGCAGGAGGAGGATGGCAGCAAACAGACTGTTTGCGTTCAGGGCAATGCTGTGCACTGCCCGCTGGGTCCTTCTTCAGTCGGATCATTAAGCCGTTGTTTTCTGATCATGTTGATGATTAGAGGAAAACAATGCACATCAAATGATGAAAAATGATTAACAAAAAGCAAGACTGGTCACCAATATCATCAGACACAAAGAGACAAAAACATTCAACTAAATAAAAGCAAAGTGGCGAGACCACGAGGCACACCTGGACAAGAAACGAGTGGCTGGAGAGAGCTGATGAATTAGACACGGGGCTGATGGGAACGAGCGGAAATGAAAACCTAACGAGTTGACGACATGAACAAGAGACAAAGGACAAAAGGACATGCTGTAGCATCAAATGAAACTTAATGAAGCGAAAAAATGCAAACGTCAAGAAAAACGGCAACTGTGACAGATGAATGAGATCCATCCTGGTAATTCTATCCAACTTCTTCATAATGTTCTTATTTATTTATTTTTTTCTTCAGGTCATGGGATGAGTTTCATGCCTGCGCCAATGTGGCAATGGTCGGCTGTCCAGAGGAAGCAGCGAGCGTCTGGGAGTCTCTCCGCCAAGAATCCAAGAAGATGCAGTTTTCAGGAAACCTCTACGACATGTGTTCCAACCGCGACAGTCACACATTAACCACAGCATACCCGCGTGGCTCCCACATCCAAGGAGAGCTCAACCAAGAGTCTCTAAGAGGGCGAGTCAGTCGTTTGGCAGCCACCTACTACCTAATCATGCTTCTGTCTCCTCTGATGTTGCTGTTTTGAACAGAACTGTCTCAATAGAATGGGACTGATGTAAATATGACATGAACTTTGTGCATTTTCGCCTCCAAATTTTCTCACTGTCCACCTTTTCCTAAACACCAGAAGAGAAGAATGCATGCTTTCTTTCTGAATTTCATGAATCCTATTTCTTACAGATTTCAAAATGACACTGTCGTGAACTGCAACCGTGTAGTTGGGGAAAAAAAAGGCAACCATATACTGTATATCGCCTGTCTTTATGCTTTTATTTGTCCCTTAAAGCTGGTCAAAAGGACAAAGCTATGACCTGTATCCAGCAACCTGTTCAAGTTCATCAAAACAGCAGATGACAGGGCAATTGCCTGTTACAAGCTTTTCACTGAATCTTTTTCAAGACGAACTCCAAGGATTTTCACAGCCCTTAGAGGGCACAGCTTATCCTGATCTTTAAAGGTGCATGTGTCAGTATCAAGTACGTAAAGCATGATAGGCTATACCTTAATTAAACTGCAAGGTTCTTTTCCTTCATGCTCGGCTCAGCTATCTAATACCGATGAGGTGGGGATGAGTGTTCCGCTGCAGCCACAAATTGTCACTGTTCTCCAGAGATTCCATGCTTGATAAGACAGACCCATTTATGAGCCATCGCATGAAAGTACTGGATTGATCGCATCGAATCCCCCTGGAATTTAAAGCTGTCGCACACATTTGATCTCACTCAAAACCACATGCTGTCAAAGGATGTAATTATGCTCTTCACAATTTGTTGTGACTTAACGTGTTGGTTTAAAGCTATAGAATAAGTGTTTTCGACGTACAATGTTTTCCTGTTCCAAATAGAAATTCTCTTTACACATGTTTGTTTTTTAATTTATTATTATTTAAAAGTTTATAGGTCACGATGGGCGGGCAGTGGGGGTTCGGGTTCCACTCAGTGACGGTGTGAACGTGAGTGTGAAAGGTTTTCTGTCTCTGTGCCATGCGACGGACTAGCTGGAGCCTATCCCAGCTGATTTGTGCTGAGATAATATGTGATGTGAGGTTAGCAGGCAGGTTTTGGGGATATGGGAGCAAGCCAGACTACGTGGAACAAATCCAGACAGGTGTGGAGAAAACATATAAACTCCACACAGAATGGCCAGTGCTGAGATTCGAACCCTGAACCTCAGAAGTGCCAGGTAGCAGTGCAAACCACTTGGTTACTGTGCCGCCGACACATCAATTAAAAAATAAATCCATTGTAGCACAGTGTGAGGGATTTTTTTTAAAAACGAAACTGTAAAAAAACAGACTTGCTGAACAAAATCCAGCAAGATGCTGGAATGAATCATTTCTCTTAGACTTTCTTGGACTAGTTTGTAAAGAACGTTAACACACACCCCGTTTACATTTGACAAAAGGAGAATCAGCTTACAGCTATTGATTATTTGCTGAGATGACACAGCAGTTTCCTTACAACATCCGACAACTTTTAGGGCTGAAGTCACTGCGATGTGAGAGTGTGCTTGAGCTGTTTTTTTTTTTAATTGGTTCTTACCCAGGTCTGGAATAATCCAGGGATCCTCCTTGGCATCCTGCACAGTAGCTTTACATTATGGGACCAATATGTGCTTCTGACAGCACTGCAGCCCGATCATAAGCCAAGTGTATTTCATGCTCCGGGAAGTGTAGTTTGAGCCTGCAGGCGTGCTGAAATGTTTGTTATTCTAACTGGCTGCCGGGAACAGTTGCTTCTGTCTGGCTGAGGATCAGAAATATTGTCACATTGCAGTCAGATGGGGGAGAAAAGAGGAGCCCACTTTGAAAACAAAGACTTTATGTTCTCAGTTCAGATGCACCAAACTGAAACTATTTGTCTAGCATCGTGTGTTGAAATGAGAGTTCCTTTTTTTTTTTTTTTTTTTGGTTTTTACCTAAAATAAATCAAAGCTGTCCGACTTGAAAGCAGCGTACGGGAATCTGTCGAAGCACGAAATGACCCCTCCGAGGCATAAGTACAAGCACTTTGCAAAAGGTGAACAGTAAATAAATAACTGTGACAAAGAAGATCTCAAGAAAGACATTTGGATTTCACCATGCATTGAGTCTGTTGATCTAACTAGCCAGAGGCAAGTTTATAAATTTTATCTACAGCGCGAGGAGATCAAGAAAGTCACTTTTCAAATGTGGCATAGATGGCATGGTATTTGCCCAAAGTATTTTTGGATATTCATGTCAAAAAGAAGTCTTTTGAATTTTAAACTTCAAGAGATTCCTGTTTACACGAGCTTCGAAAACACCGGATTTGCATTGCTGGAACGATAAACTCACACTCTAAATATGTAGGGGAAGAAAGTCATGGGCAACGAAAACGACAACAACTTCAAGGTTAAAGACAAAAGAAAGAGCAAAGGATTATGGTGACTAAGCTATTAAAATGAAAAATCTCCACTCTTCCAATTTTAACATAGGGGACTTCACCCAGAGATATGCTTGAGTGGCTTGGAGAAGGTATGCTAGTTTTGAACTTTAATTAAACCGTCAGAATTAGTACTGAGAGGCCTTAATCACAGAGCTGGAGCAATTTGGAAATAACTGTTATGCAGATAAGTTGTTGCCCTATAGGAGGACACATCTGCATGAGTCATGAAGAGTTGGATATGTTGTGCGATTTTGTCTTACATGCAGGATGCATACTAGGTTACATGTACCCGGGTGATTATATAGAGGGTGCCCCCAAGATTTGACATCAATTTGCAGAATTTAGCACATCTTGCTGATATAACGTCAATGTTTCTTTTCAATATTCTGTATTTCATGTTTTATTCTTGTTCGGTTTTCAGGTTGAGCCTGCTCGCATTGACAAACTCAGGTAGAGAATGACTTGTGGGGAAAAATTGCAAAGATCTATCATTTCCAGCAACTACAGCAGTCATTTTATTTGATGAATGGTGATTTGTGCCACATATGTCACCATCATTTTTGGAAGGTCCCTAACACAGACGGTAAGAGAAAAACAGTGCCTATAGGTAGCGACAACAAATGCAGCTGCGGTCTTGACAGAACATTTTCAAAATTATCCTACGCAGGCTACATGTGACGTAGTCGCAAATCTAGTTAGTATGAGCGTGTAAGAGCTGAATGTTAAGTGACGTGTTCGGCAACTTCTATTACTTGCTGAAGAATACTTACGGCGTTTGAGTCATTTATTTACAGCATGCAACAATACTTAATTTAAATCAAAATAACGGACCAGAAAATGAAACGTTTAAATCAGAAATAAAACAAATGAAAAAGCAAATAAAGGGTGAAAATAAAAGATCGACAGCAGCGACACTGAAACAGAAAAAGAAGACAAGATTTCAACTGGGACTTGAGATCGGCTCGAGTTGGGGCACATGTTAAAATCCACATTCTCACTGGTAATGTTTTGTAAAACATGAACGTCACTTCTTGCAAATTGTCAACCACAGTTGGATTCAAAATAGGTTTTAGTTACTCATTCCGGATGTTTCCGAACCGACCGGAAGCTTGCGGCATCGTGGCTGAAGTTACTCTTGCCACCACTAGGGTTACTGGAAGTGATGTTTCAGTAGCCAACCAGCATGCTCCACCATAGAGCACTGGTGACAAACTCAAGGCCCGGGGGCCAAATCTGGCCCACCACATCATTTTATGTGGCCCGCGTAAGCAAACCAAACATGTTAACTTCTACGATGATTGCTAAAATCTGTCCCAAAATTTCAACTACTCATATTGTAATAATCAAGATATTGTCAGCAGTTTCTTGTTACCAAACCCCTGATTACAGTAGTTGACTTCTTTATTTGGTTTCACGGTTATATCGGCCCTCCAAGGGAAACGGTCACTAAATGGGGCCCACGACAAAAATGAGTTTGACCCCCCTGCCATAGAGGTACTGTACAATTTCCTTGCGCTACAAAACACAGTACATACAATAGTGAGCGATGTATTGGAATTTGAGGACGAGGATTTTTACACATAGGACCCGACAGAAGCGGGCCTTGTCAGCCCGTGCATGTTTGACCCGATCAGGACATCTCAGCCGGTGAGTGGAAGAGAAAGTGAAAGTGAGGATTGTGACAACTTCACAGAGGAACCTGGATTAGAATCGACACAATGCAGCGCAGAGCGGATGTGACTACATATATTTGCTCTAACAACCTCAACTCGGTAGCACAACAGCTTTAGAGACATGGACAGTCGGTTGTGCTGTGCGTGTGGGAGTCACAATAATGCGTCGGCCGTATGATATGTTACATCGTGGAGCCCATCATGAGCTGCATTTTACATGCATGGAAATTGGAGATGTGTATCATATGCACAGTAAAGACAACGGAACTGATCAATGAATGGGGATGCTTAGAACACGCTGTACGGAAAGGCCATGTCGGCAGAATAAGTACAGAATACACTACGGGAAATTTTTTTCTTCAACGGCTCAATTCCTAATCACTTTTCTTAGGTGTCGCAAGTGCATGCAATTAACTCCTCACCTTTTGCCTGTGGTGCTTGTCTGCACGTTGACAACCAGGGTTATTCTTGCTGCTGCTGCGGGTTGAGATCGGGTTTGCCGAAGGAAAAACCGTTGCCGTGGAAGACAGGTTTAAGCCTGGGTCGATCTAAATTCACGTACCCGATGCACAATTGTCTGTGTCTCATGTGTTGTCTTGTATTATTTTGTCATTTTTTGTTAACTTTTCTTTTGATGGTGACACGGACACCCGCAGCAGCTCCTCTTGTTTTATGTTGAGAGGGGAGAAATTTCATCTGTGCTGTATGTTACACATACATACAGCTTATTTGACAATAAAGTTGAATTCATTTCAATTCAATTCTCTGCCAAATGTTTGCTGAAGCACACCTGTTCAAAATCATCAGCACAGAGCTTGGAGTACTTCCTTGGCGACCGTAGTTGTCGTTCCTACCTGCTGTTTGACTTTCCGATCCACTGGTCACGTATTTCTTTATCCTATGGAAAATTGAAGAAACCTTTGCCACTCCCTTGACCATTTGTGCAACCAACTGCCACACAATGACTGAACCACCGTTTAAGTGCTAAAGCACATGGAGAGCAACTGAACACAAAGAGCACACAACCACATGCCCCAGGAGCCACAAAATTGTTTGGCTTCTGTGATGTCACCGCTCCAGAAATACAGTACTCGAAGATGAGAGGGCACAAAATTCAAACCGCAGACGACACATTCTGAATTGTATTTTTAATGACGGTTATGCATTGTAAAGGAGTTCTAGGAGGTCTCAAGAAAAAAACTTCAATCTTTGCTCTCTGACCTTCAAGACAATCAGGAAGCTGATTCCATTTGTGTGAAGCATCATGGCTAAAAGTTGCTGTTTAGTTCTGAAGCGAGACTCTACCAATTTACCGCTTCCAAGCGATCTCAGCACCCAACTGGGTTTAAATAGATTAGACATGTTTATTGGCCCCATGCCATGTAATAGACTAACAGTGACACTTTAAAATCAATTCTGTAAATAACATATAGCCAGGGTAGGGGTTTAAGAACAGAACTGATATGGTCAGTTACTCTCGTGCTGGTTAAAACTCACAGCAGCATGCTGAATAAGATGAAATTGCCTATGAGTCTTTTCAAGAGGGCGAGACAAAAGAGTGATACAGTAGTCCAGCCTACCGGAGATGAAGGCATTAATGAGCAGGCTTGGTGACTAATAAATTACATGTATTCAGGATACAAAAAAAATGTGATTATTCTTTTGTGGTTACAGAAAAAAAAATGCAATCAGATCATAGGTGCATTTATAAAAATTGCGACTTATTTTACAGGATTACATTTTTAATGCGGGGAGAGAGATGACGCAGTCATGTCCTTGATCACCTGCTCTGAACTTGTTGGCCAAATTCCCGGCGTTAAGTGGACAACTGTTTACAGTGTATGTCCTACTAATGGGTTTTTGTTGGCCAACGATTAAATGAGACAGGTCACTGGCTTGGTTTGTGTTGGTCTTAGCGTGGTCTGTTTGGAAAGTAACTCTGAGGGAATGCATGATGACTAATTTGGATCCAATCGCTGAAGGATTTATTCATCCATCGATCCATCTATTATCCGATCCGCTTATCCTCAGGAGGGTCGCGGCGCATGCTGGAGCCCATCCCGGCCGTCTTTGTGCTGTAGGCAGGGTACACCCTGAACTGGTTGTCAGCCAATCACCGTGCACACATAGACAAACAACAACCATCCACACTTACAATCACACCCTACGCATGCATAGGGAGAACATGC